CTCGCAGGAGGATCCGGGCAAAGAGCCACATGTAAAGGACTCTTCACCCCTGCCTCCAAAAAGAGCGCCGTGTTTTTTCCTACCTCACTGCCCTCCACTTTCCCATTCTCGAGCGCTAGCTTTCGCCCCCTCCTTGGCCTCAAGTCTGAATATGCGGAGTTTCAACCATTAGCAAAAGATGACCTGTGCACACCGCGCACATGCAAAAAAGAAATATGGTCGTCGATTCCGTGCGCTGGAGGATGTCCGTTTAAACATTTTGTTTTAAGGAACATGGTTAGGATTACATGGGTCATCGTCGAGAGTTGCGTCGAACGCAAAAGAAGCTTTGGAAAGTTTTTCTACGTTTGTCAGAAGCAGCTGATTTCGTGGCGATTGAACGGCCAAAGATGCGCAAAGCTGGGGATGGAATTAGACGAGAGAGTTTGTGAGATTCTGACAAAGAGAGCTCTGCAATCCACTCTTGTTGAAGCGTGTTCAGTCGATTTGACGCAGAAGAATCAGTTGGTCAAGAAGACGTGGAGAAAACTCACGCTGATAGTGCCCGTTTGCTTGTGAGTCTTAAGGTGTGTCTGTGTTGGTCGTCATCAGCATTTGTCTTCCAAAGATGTCAATTGGAAGTACTTTGCGAGCCAACCCTGAAAGGATTTAAAGCCGAATTCACCGCATGAGAGTCATGCATTTTTCGAGCCCAGAATGGCACGCTTTGCAGAAGCCAGTAAGACAGGAGTTTTCATCTTAGATCAGACATGTGATGAGCGAGAGCTTTGATGAGTGAAAAAATCCATTTGTCGGATGGTCACCTTGCTCGTGCTTGTTGCTTTGTTTGGTTTTTGTTGTTTTGTGCTGTTTGGTTTGTGTTTTGAAAGAGAGAACCGGACCGTAATTTTGAAAGAGTTTTGTAGCGTGTTCGAGTGTTCGAAAGGTTTTTGTAAAGAGTTGCTTGTGTGTAGTATGCATATGTACAGTCATTCGACGACTGTTACTTTTGGCTCAAGTGAGTGTGAAAAAGGCGCGAGGGAGTGCACTGCGTTAGCATGAGTTGTTGTTGACTTGAAGAGTTTCGAGAGTGTGAGAACGAGGTTTGGAGTGACCGGACTCATCTAGAGAGCTTGCTGTGAGCTTAAAGATCCAGGGGAAGTGTAGTTTACCGTAAGGTTTGCTACCCACGTTTTTCGTTGCTGCCCACAGGAACGTCAAACCTTGCAAGTCCAGCGTCGACACCCCGATACGCCCAATGTTTCGATTGCGTCCAACCGCGACTGCAATGCCATTCTCCCTTTGACCTGTGCGGGCTTGATTTTCATGACAATGATTGTAGCAGTGGGCATGCCAACGGTGATGCTAATGCTGATGCTGACAGCAATGGTAGTGTTGATGCTACTGGGCCACAGTTTTGGTGATTGCCACTCAACCTTGACCTGTGGCAATGCTAATGGCAATGGTGATGGTTGTGCCATTGCCCCACAGGTAATTCTTCGGGAGGGGTCGGCCCCCCACGGCCCCAAAGAAAGACATGTTTTTGGTGGCATATATATATATATGTATATACATATTTTTTTTGCTGACCCCACCAAGATCCGGTGAACTAGGAAGACTTCTACTCACGAGCAGACAGCGAGCACCTACCAACAACTACGAGGTCTCGTCCTCAACGTCTGAACACCTTCGACATGCAAAGTCCTAAAACAAACATTTTTGAAAAGACTGGAAAACACACACCCGTATGACATCCTTTTCTGTTTTCAAAGGCATGACTCCGCAACCCTCAATGCCACACTATGGCCGCACTGCAATTGCAGCGCTGTTCTGGCAAACAACAATCAAAGAATGCAACTTCACCGCAGTCGTTTAAGGCTGTCTTTCTGATCCTATGGCCCATCCAGCATCGCCAAAAGTGGCCCTGCATAAACCATAGGAAATGAGGACCGCGTTACGTTTCGTTTTGCAGCTGTACATGCGCTTGACAACGTCAAATGCCAACCGAAATCGAATTTGTGGAAGCAGAATTTGACTTGGAAAGTTTCAAGAGTGGGAGAGTGATCTTTGGAGAGAACTGGACTTGTTTGTCGAACCTGTTGTGAGCTTTTAGATCCAAGGACGTGTGGTTTGCCGTGCAGGTGTGCTACCCACGTTTTTCAAAGTTGCTGAGCGTAATGTTCGCTCCTAATCTGGCCCGCCTTGATTGAGGCACCTCATGATCCAAGAGACTGTCTCACCCTTGCGCTTCAGTTTTTTTTGAGTTTTTGTGAGTCCTTTCTGATGCAGACCGTGCGTCCAAGGCGCGTCTGGCAAAAAATATGGATGAAAAAGAACTTGAATTCATCAACTTTGGACTTCTGTTCCAAGAGTCGCTGGAACCAGAATGTACATGACAACGAGAGTGCTCTTTTCTCGGTCTAGAGTGGACCAATACTCCGAGTTCTCAAATGCAAAACGGTTTTTGCGAGAACTCGCGCAGGAAAGCACGAGTTGAAGTGATCGGTGTATTTTTTTTGCTTTCGTTTTCCTTTCGCAAAATCGTCGTTGAACTTTTCGGCAGCCGTTTGTGTGGGGTTGAGAGTGCGCAGAAACCATGTTGTTTTTGCTTGGGCCTCGTTACTGCCAAGCAGGGATTGGTGGATTGTTGTCGTTACTAGACGGTTTTGCATGGTTCTGGTTATTCGTGGTCTGTTTGGCGTTTTGTGCGCATTCCCGTTGGACGGTTGTTTCCCAACTGTTTTTTTTGCCACACATTTTCTTAGACTTGTCAACGCGACTCCCGGACCATGAGTCCAAAAAAGAACTATCGTTCACCTTGGCAACCTCCATACTTCGGAAAAAGACTGTCAAGCCGGCAACGACACGTAATTAAGCACTGAAGCCTGAATGTTATATAACTGAAAAAAAATAAACATGTTTTTTGAGGTGACTCTAAAGGAAAACTCACAAAGAAGGGTTCTCTTGCCCCCACAGTTGGCACTCGTCTCAGCATGGTTTTCTCCCTTGCCTATGTAGTCAGGATTTGCGTAAGAATTTCCAGCACTGCAGCCGGCTGGAAACGAAAAAGATGATGATTGGGTCTCTCTCGAAGCAACGGGCAAATTGTTTGCACAACAAAACCAAACCAAAACAGTAGGTTTCAGCACGCGTGTCGCTCATATTAGGCATTCAATGACGCAAGGAGGGGTCACGATGGTGGTGTCTACTGGGCCATTGAAAGAGCATCTTGGAGTTTCAGGATAGTGGTCTGAGTTATTTAATCACGTGTTCTACGGACAAATAATGCCCCAGAAGGCTTCTTATCATTTTATATTTTTAGAACTGCAATCGGAACAGTGTCAGCGACAAAGGCATGACGGCTTTCATTCATCACTTTTCGGTTCGAAGATACGGTTTCAGCAGGACAGTTTCGTTTGAGCCATGGCAGCAACTTTGGTGGAGGAGATGTCAGAGCTGAGGATCAAGGAGCCTCAGGCCGATTTGTTGGCTTACTATCGTTTTGGACACTATGAGCAGATATTATCAGACCTAACCACAGAAGTGCCTCTTTAGAACAAAAGCAACACAACGACATACCTGAAGCAATACCCGGTCGGGACAGGGTCCCCAACACGGCGCACACGCCACACGCCACACGTGACGCGACAGGCTTTGGAGACCAAGGCAGTGCAGTTCAAAGTTCCGGGTCTTCAAGTCTTCGAGTTGGAGCTGGAACTCACCACTGCCGTGCGTGGCTCTTCTTGATGCTGAGCTTGTTGCCGTGTGTATTGCAAAGTGAACGGTTTCTTCTCGGTCTGAGTCCGGGAGCATCTCCTCCAAAAGCAGATGAGTGATGAAGCCAGCGTGATGTTGTTTTTGCCCGAGGTGACGTGAAGAAGTTGGCCAAGGAGCAATGCAACATCGAGCCTGAGCACATGCGCCTGATCTACAACGGCCGACAGCTCAAAGATTGGGACACTCTGGAGTGCTACAGTGCCAAGGCCAGGTGAAGATTCTTCAGAGTTGCAAGATGTGGCGGTTCTTCTTGATTGGGTTGATTTGGCTTGTCACCTGTTTGTTTGCTGGAGGCTGACAGCCCGGTACAGATTCTCTTCACTGCAGGGCACACTGCCATGCTGGGAGGCCAGGGTCTTACTTTGTTGCTAAGCATTCTGCCAACCCGTTGTTCCGTTGGTGCTTCTCA